AAAAAGAAAAAAATGCGAAGCCAACGAATAGAAGAAACATCCGTCCGTTCGAACGTTTTCCAGCGACAGCTCCTTATAAAGAAATGATTCACGATCCGGCGAAAAACGCAGAAAGAACTTGATCGATAGTTAGAAGAAAAAAAAAAAAACGAGAAAAGAAAAGCGAGCGAGTGTTCCCGACGCGACATTTTTCTCCCTCCTCCCTCGGGCGAATTAAAAACAATCCCTCGTGAGGATGTGTGGAACCTCTATCGGTCGATCTTACCTCCACGATCTTGCAGAAGTCTCGAAGTGTTCGGCGAAGTTCGATCGCGACGAGTGGGCAGCACGACAACGCTCTTCTCCCACGTGGAGAGAAATGTCGATCCCCAGACAAAAAGACGAGAATCCTGTCGTCTCGATTGACGAAGGCGCGTCGAACTTGGTTGATGAAACCGGCCGCGATCTATCGCGGTCTTGTGGATTAATCTTCCGCGACGCCTTAACGATCGGAACTTTCCGGAAAGATTCGAAGGCCCTCCTCCCTTCGAGGATATCCCGGATGAATAACGGTACGTTCTTCGTTGGCCCCCGACTGCTGCCAACCGGAACCGAAGAGAACCGCAGGATTAATTAGAAAAACTTTCCGACGATGGATTAATTCCAAGGACTCGTTGAACGGCCTCTGTCTCGGTGAATCTCTCGATGGAATCTTGGATATCACGGATGGGCGAACTTCCCCGAACTAATACACTTTTCGAGGGTACAATGGATCGTTGATCGATAGCCTTTGGAGAGTCTCTCGGATAGATACTGGTTGGACGATTGCTTTTCTGTCAAGCATCCAACTACTACTCTCCGCTTCTGGTATCTCCTTTTCGAGTTGAAGCTGGTCGGTTTTTTTCCCTCGAAGGACCCTTGCAACTCGAGTCGAATGGGAAAAATACGATACCCTTTCCTCCCTCGACAAGCCTCGTGAACCCTGCCCTTCGTGTGTACTGTTCGCGTTAGATCAAACGGAACGCGAGAACATCGTCCACGATTCAACATCAAACATCGATCGGATCGACACCGGCGAGTACACTCGGTCGTAGATCGTATTCTTGGTGAACACACGACGCGTATTCCGAGTACCGACGGATTTTCCTTTTTACAGATAATTATTACACGAAGGGATCGCACGAACGTTTAGAAACGAAACGCATTTCGTTCGCTCGAGAGTACCGGCAGCAGCAGCGAAACAACGGGAGGACAAAATCGACGAAGTAAAGAGTACTGTTACCGTTTGGATGTGTCTCGCTCGATGTAAATGCCTCGCGAGCAGCAGAGAGCGATCCCGATGACGACCACTGACTGAGCCGCGGAGCAGCGTCAGGAACTCGCGGTGGAAGAAAGGATGAAGAGAAGGTGGCGGTGGCGGCCCCCGGGGCGCCTGCGCTACCAATTTTACACATGGTCTACGAGCACGTTATATCCACCCCTAAGCAGCCCCTACCACCACCAAGCACAGCCTGCTGGCTTCGCTACCAGCTAAAGGGGCTTGCGTATCTCTACGCAGGTAACTACTACCGTTAACCATGACCGAGTGGAGAACTATAGAGCACGATAAGAGGATGGAGAAGGGAGAAGGATACCAGAGG